GGGGCTGAGGGCTGTTTTCAGGCTGGCGGGGGACTGAAGCTCCCAACCGCTCCTTTTTTTCTTTTTTTTTCTTTTTTATTCTGGGCCAGCTTTAGCCCTGAGGCTTGGCTCCAGCTCTTAGGCCTCTGCTGCTGAAAGCAGGTTTCTGGCCTTTGTTTTCCTTCTGTATTTGAAACAATTTTGTGATCCTGCTGGCTGAAGCCCAGCGACTAAAGCAGGTTTCTGGGGTTTTGTTTAGCTTCTATATTTGTAACATAGTTGCTCAGAGTTGCAGCTCAGAGGCCGGCAGCGGCAGGCGGGGGACGTTGGAATCCTCCGTCACTGAAGCAAGCAAGCCTCATGTTCCGCTTCAACTGCCTGGCTGCCAGCCGCCATCTTGGCTGCAGTTAATTTGCATATTGCCCTGATTGGCCAATGGGAAGGGTAGCGGATGTACGGCTAATTACCAAGTTTCTCTTTTATTAGATAGGATTTATTGTTCCCATTCTGTGAATCGACCTTAATAAAGCCTGACAGGTGTTGTTATGCTATCGGCTCTCTCTTCATTAGTGATTACTTGCTTGAGTGCTTGTATGAGGTGAGAAAGGAAATCCTGATACGGTTCCTCAACCTTCTGTTTAACTTCTGTAAGAATAGTTGTTTTTCCTGCTGTACAAGGTAGGGATTTCCAGTCATTTACTGCACAACTGGTTACTTTATCTTTTTAAATATATTTTATTGATTTTTTTACAGAGAGGAAGGGAGAGGGATAGAGAGTTAGAAATACCCATGAGAGAGAAACATGGATCAGTTGCTCCCTGAAAACCCCCTACTGGGGATGTGCCCGCAACCAAGGTACATGCCCTTGACCAGAATCGAACCTGGGACTCTTCAGTTCACAGGCTGATGCTCTAGCCACTGAGCCAGACTGGTCGGGGCACAACTGGTTACTTTAATAAGTGCCTCTTCAGGTATATACATTTGCTCCTGAGCCATGATAAAATCATCTTTTCCTAATATCATGTCTAGGGTTATTCCTCCTCTGGATTTTTTGCTAGTGGCTACAGCTCTCTTAGCAAGATCATCATATTCAGTTTTCCATAATAAGTAATCACCTCCTGATAGACAGGTTTTACAAACCTGTGACCAATCATAAGGAGTCACCCATTTACTGGCTAGGGCTTCAACCAAGGTTTGTGTGTAAGGAGCTAAAGGTCCATATTCAGAGCAGGCCGATTTTAATTCTTTAAGTACTTTGTAAGGTATAGGCTCCCATGTGGGATCATCCTCACCAAACTCATTCTCATATGCAACTGGGAAGCAGAGTGAGAATTCAAGATCTCCATTAGCTTCAGCTTCTCTTATTGCCCTTTGAATTTTAGACATGGAGCTCATAGGAGCTGGAGAACCTGGTTTAGGCTTCCTTCCTAATTTGGGGAACTGTTTTGAATAGGAGGGCTTTTCTAGTCTCTATTGACTGGAAAGGACCAAGGGTCATGTTTATGATACTTCACTGCTGTCTCCTCTAAATCTTTCTGATCTTGGGGTGAAAGGAAATGAGGCTCATCATATTTATTCTCCTTCCGATCAGTAGGCATAACTAAATTGCTCTTAGATTGAGCTGGAGATGATAATGATGTGTCCTCTCTAGGTGGAGCCGAAGGACTATTTAAAGTTTGAGAAAGTTTAACCGTGTCTGCCTCTGGTGCCAAGGTGTCACGAATTAAATTCCAGAGGGAAAAGGTATTTGCTGGGACCTTCTCAGGTCCATGGAAGCTGTAATAAGTCTTTAATTGCTCTCCTACTTTAGTCCAAGTTTCTAAATTAACAGTTCCTATCTCAGGAAGCCATGGACATAGTTCATGTATAAAATGTTCTGTCTGACTGGGAGTAAGCTTAACTCCTCTGCTAGCAAGCATATGTGTTAAAAGATCAATACGGAGTCTTTATTCTTTAGGCTCAGTATGGCCCATCTCCTCAATCTAAGTTCTCTTACCCTACTTATCCTCTATAGGGAGGTCTGCAGCAACCTACAGTGGAGTCCTATCTGTCCCGAGTGTTTGTTTGTTGGGGGCGGGGGGGGGCTTACATAGGGGAATCCTATTCGGCCTGTTTGGGCACCAGTTGCCGGGGTCCAGGGCCAGTGGTCCTGGGGTTCCCAAAGGTGTGGACGGTGTCGGCGAAGAATAAAGAACACGAAGACAGCGTTCAGATGATCGCATAGCCAGGATCTTTCTTTATTCTAGGTGGATGTTCCTGTGCCTGATGGAGGCCACAGACAGAGATACAGAGGCAAGCTGAGCCTTTATTTTGTAGTCAGAGGTAAACAAAGTAGTGGTTACCATAGTTAGACTGTTCTTGTGAGTTTCACTTGTTTTGGCAACACTTGCTGCACCTCACTTAGCCCATTATCTTCCCAGATAATATCTAAGGAGTGTCATAAGGTCCAGCCTAATTATGCTAAGAGGACTGTTCAACAGCTGCTCTGGAATATTTAACGAATTCAGCTGTTTTCCTGATACTCGCTCTATGGCTCCAAGTGCCAACAATCATCCCACGTTCAAAGGCTGTTAAATCACATTGTTTACACATATCTTTAGAAAAAAGTCACTTCTACTATCATGGCAAACAAACTGCTTCCCTATTTATAATGTCCTGGCCTTCTAGCAACTTCAGTGTGAAATTATCGCTAATTTGCTTTCTACTTCCATCTATGTTGTTGCAAATGGTAAGAATTTCTTCATTTATACAGCAGCATGGTATTCCATTGCATAGATGTACCACAGTTTCCTAATCCACTCATCCGCTGATGTGAACTTAAGCTGTTTCCAAATCTTAGCTATTGTAAATGGTGATGTTATGAACAGGGGGAGGCATCTATCTCTTGTGACTGATGATTCTGGTTTCTTGTGATATAGTCCTAGG